AACAGTCAACGCCCTACCTGCTTGATTACGTTCTTCCTGAGAATGCTAAATTTGAGAGAGAGAGAGAGATAAAACACAGAACCAGAGACACATAGACAGACACATAAGCAGAGACAGATATCACAGAGATACATAGAGAGAGACAACACAGAGACACACAACAAAGATCCCCCGTATAGCCTTAACAGACTGTAGGGGCAAGTGCTGTTAGCGAGCACCTATGAAGGCCGGAACGGTACACGAGGGGGTGGGTGGCCAGCACCACGCCCGACCGCCTTTGTCTCCCTCGTGGCGATGTTTACAGAGACACACACACACAGAGAGAGAGACACACAACAAAGACACATAGACAGACACATAAGCAGAGACAGATATCACAGAGATACATAGAGAGAGCAGCAGCAGCAGTTTCAATCCACTGCTGGATGAGGGTTACCCCCTTACACCACCCGCCCCCCCCAAAGCGGTATAACACAATGAATCGCAACACCAGTGACTTCACAGAACATTCGCACGTCCTAAGCAATTAAAGGGCGCTATTTAGGATCCTAAATAGGGGAAAATCCTTGGCCGCGTGCGATCTGACGCCGGTTCGCTTAGCACCGAGCGCTCTTGAGGCCTACGCGGTTTAAAGTCTTGGCGCGTTACGGACGAGCGGCTTTGTAACTAAGTAACAAACAAAAGCTACAACAAAGTTGTTGTTGTTGGGGGGGGGGAGGGGGTTTGTTGTTGTGTTAAAGACAGCGGAGCCCGGTCCCGTTCAGGCAGGGAGAATTCACGAGCACGTAGGTAGGCCTCGAGGCCTACGGACTTTCCTGGCCCCCCGCTGCCGGCGAGGAGCCGAGTTACCCGTGGACAGAATCTAGCCCAGGCCGGTGGGGGGGGGGGGGTCGTCACCGCTTCACCTACAACTCCGCTCATCATCATCACCTCATCACCATCAACTCATCGCCATCAACTCCCTCATCATCATCATCACCACCTCATTATCATCATCATCACCCATCACCATCACCTCATCGCCATCAACTCCCTCATCACCATCAACTCATCACAATCACCTCCAGGACCAACATCGCGACCAGCAAATCCATCTCCTTAGCATCGCTCCCATTAAACTTCACCATCACCACCACCCCCATCACCACCTCCATCATCACCATCGTCCTCCTCATCTGCTCACCTCCCTCACATCATCACCACAACCACCATCCCCACCTCCTCACCCATCACCTCCTCACCTCCTCGGGGTGGGAACTCGTCACAACTCCTCACCGCACAGCCTCCACAAAGCCCATCCCTCCCCGCCTTCACGACAGCCTTTTTAAGCTAAATGAGTAGTATTATTATTAAGACGGTGGTAGTTGTTGTGGTAGTTGTTGTGGTTGTTGTTGTGGTTGTTGTTGGTGCAGTTAACGACTGCTGCTGATGATGATGATGCTGCTGCTGCTGCTGGTGCTGCTGATGCTGCTGATGCTGGTGCTGCCTGCTGCTGCTGGTGCTGCCTGCTGCTGCTGGTGCTGCTGGTGGTGGTGCCTGCTGCTGGTGGTGCTGCTGCTGGTGCTGCTGCTGCTGGTGCTGCTGCCTGCTGCTGCTGCTGGTGCTGCTGCTGGTGCTGCTGCTGCTGCTGGTGCTGCTGCTGGTGGTGCTGCTGGTGCTGCTGCTGGTGGTGCTGCTGGTGCTGGTGCTGCTGCTGGTGGTGCTGCTGGTGCTGGTGCTGCTGGTGCTGTGGTGTGCCTGCTGCTGGTGGTGCTGCTGCTGGTGCTGCTGCTGCCTGCTGCTGCTGCTGGTGCTGCTGCTGGTGCTGCTGCTGCTGCTGCTGCTGGTGCTGCTGCTGCTGCTGGTGCTGCTGGTGCTGGTGCTGCTGCTGGTGGTGCTGCTGGTGCTGGTGGTGGCGACGGTGGCCGAGACGGGATAGCAACGCACGAGCCGATAATGGCAACGGTCCTCCCCACCACGGACCCCCCCCCCACCCCCGCACCACCCCCACCACATACCCTCCCCCCCACAGACCCCCCCCCACCACCATCACCCCCCCCAACACCACAGACCCCCCCCCCACAGACCCCCCCCCCTCCCACAGACCCCCCATAGACCCCCCCCATAGACCCCCCACCATCACCCCCCCACAACCATAGACCCCCCCCCCACCACCACCGTCGATCCGCCCCCCCACCACCCCCAACCCCCCCCACCACCACCGTCGACCCCCCCCCACCACCCCCCAACCCCCCCCCCACTACCCCCCAACCCCCCCCACCACCCCCCGACCCCCCCCCACCACCCCCCAACCCCCCCCCCCCACCACCGTCGACCCCCCCCCCACCACCCCCAACCCCCCCCCAACCCCCCCCCACCACCCCCCAACCACCCCCCAACCCCCCCCACCACCACCGTCGACCCCCCCCACCATCCCCCAACCCCCCCCACCACCACCGTCGACCCCCCCCCACCACCCCCCAACCCCCCCCCCACTACCCCCCAACCCCCCCCACCACCCCCCGACCCCCCCCCACCACCCCCCAACCCCCCCCCCACCACCGTCGACCCCCCCCCCCCACCACCCCCAACCCCCCCCCAACCCCCCCCCACCACCCCCCAACCACCCCCAACCCCCCCCACCACCACCGTCGACCCCCCCCACCATCCCCCAACCCCCCCCCACCACCACCGTCGACCCCCCCCCCACCACCCCCCAACCCCCCCCCCCACTACCCCCCAACCCCCCCCACCACCCCCCGACCCCCCCCCACCACCCCCCAACCCCCCCCCCCACCACCGTCGACCCCCCCCCCCACCACCCCCCACCACCACCGTCGACCCCCCCCCCACCACCCCCCAACCACCCCCCAACCCCCCCCACCACCACCGTCGACCCCCCCCCCCCACCACCCCCCAACCACCCCCACCACCACCGTCGACCCCCCCCACCACCCCCTCCCCCAAGCACAGATGCGGCCTGACGGAGGAGCACCGCCACTTCACAAGAAATCATCATCAGTAGCCACGATCAGCAGCAGTCACGATCATCATCATCAGCAGCAGCCACGATCATCATCATCAGCAGCAGCATCCACGATCATCATCATCAGCAGCAGCAGCCACGATCATCATCATCATCAGCAGCAGCAGCCACGATCATCATCAGCAGCAGCCACGATCATCATCAGCAGCAGCATCCACGATCATCATCATCAGCAGCAGCATCCACGATCATCATCAGCAGCCACGATCATCATCATCAGCAGCTATGATAATCATCAGCAGCAGCCACAATCATCATCATCATCAGCAGCCACTCCGCTGCTGAGTGGTGATGCCTTTGTTGCCCCAATGTAGTTTTCAGACACCCACCTGCGCATTACTGTGACCGAGTCTGTCTGTTGTCGTGACCTTCTGACCCACCCGTGCCCCCCCCCCTTACTGGACACCTGTGAAAAAAGAGCTTTGTAGCTCATCGGTTTCCTCCTCCGACAGGAATACAGATTCTGAGTTTTTACGTTTTTGGTATCATATTCGTGTTATCTCAGCGTGGCAAGTCCATTTTTGGAAACATTTTACTGGTAGGAACCCACTGGTTCCACCAGCCCACAGGGGATTATTGTGTCCGTCCGTCGTGCAGGGAGGGGCTGGGTGGGGAGGGGAGGGTGGGGCTGGGTGGGGGGTGGGGCTGGGTGGTGGGTGGGAGGGGTGGGAGCTGGGTGTGGGAGGGAGGGGCTGGGTGGGGAGGGTGGGGAGGGTGGGGCTGGGTGGGGAGGGGCTGGTCACCCCGTGGTGCCCTTATAAAACTCAACTTTTAACCTACTCACGCCGGCTTGTGCCCGCCCTCACAGTCGGGCATATTTGCGGAATACACCACGCCGCCGTTGACCCTGGCCATTGACCGAGCAACCCAACGTTCCTACCAGCTCCCTCCGCAGGAATGTGTTAACACTTCAAAATATATTTTGTAGTTAGGCCTTGGCTTGTGAAAACGGGACTCACGACTAGGGGTCGGCACGGTTTGGCTCAAACCACCAAACCGCGGTTTGAACCGAACCAAATCGGTTTGGTTTGGCTCTGTTTAAACTGGTTCGGTTTGGTTTGGGGCTACGAAAACCGACTCGGTTTGGCTCGGACAGGGTGGAACCGGCTCAAACTAGTTTGGTTGGTTGTAAAGGCCGAGTACAGCAATATCAAGGACATGATGACGGACATTCTCAACCAGCGCTACCCAGCGTTGACGACGGACGCGGCGCCGAAGGCGGCGCCGCGTGGCGGCATTAACATCCTCTTTGACATGGTCTACGCGCCCAACGCTCACGACGGCGCCGCCTCCGAGGTCGACCGCTTCCTGCTTGAGCCGACTCAGGACCTGAGCATGGACGTCGTCGAGTGGTGGAAGCTGTACGGCGGCAAGTACCCGCGCCTGCGACGCGTGGCCCTCGACTATTTGCCTATCCCGGCGTCGTCCGTGCCCTCCGAGAGAGCAAACTCGGCCGCCAAGCGCTCCTTTCTCGACCGACCAAACCTGCACAAGTGCACGTTCAAGGCCGAGATGTGTGTGCGCTCGTGGGCGCGGATGTTGCCTAGTGTTGGGGTTTCACTGCCATTGAACTACCACACTGCGTTCAAGGACATTGGGCGTGCCAAGCTTGAGGAGATGGCTGTGGACGACATCGTCGTCCAGTACTTGCTAGTGAATCTCAATATGAAGAAAGCCTGCGTAGAAATTAGCGATTAATACACTTGATATTTGTATTGAATGCGAATATTGTTTGCCGCGCATCTTTTCGGTTCAAGCCAACTCAAGAGGTTTGGTTTAGCTTAGTTTGGTTTGGTTTTGGTTTGGTTTGGTTCAGTCGTCGCTGGTTTGGTTTCGTTTGGTTTGCTCAATTTGAAACCAGTTTGAGTCGGTTCAAACCGTGCCGACCCCTACTCACGACATCAAATGATGTACCAGTCTACAAAGACAAATGTGCAATGCTAATATGTATATAATACTCTACTATAACACTCACTCTTGTTATTACTATATTTATTTTTTAACCAATTATTGCATTCTCATTTTACACGTAATTCATGTGAAACCCGCCGGTTTAAGCGTTCGCGTGCTCTCCCTCGGTTGCAATGACGACTCTTGACCACAACGATTTATAATGATCCATAAGAGATGTTTGTGGGGGGGGGGGGCTTAGATCGCGTAAAGGTATAAATGTGTCGTTAAAACCCGTCACCACCCGACACAGCCAACTAGTAAGGGTTGTCACGTAAACAGAACGTGGCAATTCGTCACTAGTACAGCACTAGTGTATACTGTAGTGTATAGTAGTGTAGTGTGTAGTGTATAATAGTGTAGTGTGTAGTGTATAGTAGTGTAGTGTATAGTAGTGTAGTGTATAGTAGTGTAGTGTGTAGTGTATAGTAGTGTAGTGTGTAGTGTATAGTAGTGTAATCTATAATAGTGTAGTGTATAGTAGTGTAGTGTATAGTGTAGTGTACTAGTACAGCACTAACCGGTGTGTTGGAGAGCCAAGCCACAACATTTACAATCGGAATACGACGTTTCGCCAGTAATTACAACCAGCTTCATCAGGCGACAGCCAGATTTGTGGAGAAGTCACCTAATTATTTACGCGATCTAACCCCCCAAAAAAACTGTATTATGGATGATATTGGTCACGAAAGCCTGCTACGTTAAACTGATTTCTAATGATATTCATATACGCCGGGGAGTGATCAAGGACTTAAAACAATTAAATTGCAGCTTCCTTGGGATGCGCCGAGTATTTTTGCAAGTGATAAGTGGGAGCATTCTTCCAAGGGGAGAACACAAACTCAACACGTATGCAACCCGTCGGATTTCTAATTAACTTCTACGTAATTGGCAAGCAATAATATAATTCATCTCGATTTGGCATCTCTCGTCGCGTGCTTAAGGAGGTTACAGATCACTTTGACGCACATTTCTTTTATGTCATCGTTACATTATTATCGGTGGGAATTTGACGTTGACTTACCAGTGGTCCGATCCACCCCCTAGAGATCCCTCTTAACTTTACGATACTTAAACGTTCTTAAGTCCCGAAGTTGAATTAGTGCTCAGACAAATCTCACCTTCAAGTGGGCCTGCTCCAAATCTACGATGACGCAAGTCGTTCTCTCCACAGGCCTTGGGTCTTTCCAGACTTACAGACTTATATCTCCATTAGCACTACAAACAAAAACATTTGATTTTACCTGGCAAGGCCTACTGAAACGTCTCTTTTTCAGAAGCAATTTGGCTATCACAAATTATAGCTCAGCGAAGCGGCTTATCACGTGGACATTTATCGCAGCCAAAGACTCTCAATGCTTGTTGATTCTAAATGTGGAGGGATAAATCCACGCGACCACGGAGAGAGAGAGAACATGCAAACTCCAAATGTATAATGACAATAGAGCCTGCATGCGGTGTGAGGGGACTAGTGGCCACGGGAGGTAATGACAGGGGAGTCAGCCTGTAGTGTGAATGGACTAGTGGCCACGGGAGGTAATGACAGGGGAGTCAGCCTGTGGTGCGAATGGACTAGTAGCCACGGGAGGTAATGACAGGGGAGTCAGCCTGCAGTGTGAGTGGCATATTGGGCACGGGAGGTAATGACAGGGGAGTCAGCTTGCGGTGCGAATGGACTGGTGGCCACGGGAAGTAATGACAGGGGAGTCAGCCTGCAGTACGAATGGACTGGTGGCCACGGGAGGTAATGACAGGGGAGTCAGCCTCGAGTACGAATGGACTAGTGGCCACGGGAGGTAATGACAGGGGAGTCAGCCTGCAGTACGAATGGACTAGTAGCCATGGGAGGTAATGCCAGGGGAGTCAGCCTGCAGTGCGAATGGACTAGTGACCACGGGAGGTAATGACAGGGGAGTCAGCCTGCAGTGTGAGTGGCATATTGGGCACGGGAGGTAATGACAGGGGAGTCAGCTTGCGGTGCGAATGGACTGGTGGCCACGGGAAGTAATGACAGGGGAGTCAGCCTGCAGTACGAATGGACTGGTGGCCACGGGAGGTAATGACAGGGGAGTCAGCCTCGAGTACGAATGGACTAGTGGCCACAGGAGGTAATGACAGGGGAGTCAGCCTGCAGTACGAATGGACTAGTAGCCACGGGAGGTAATGCCAGGGGAGTCAGCCTGCAGTGCGAATGGACTAGTGGCCACGGGAGGTAATGACAGGGGAGTCAGCCTGCAGTGTGAGTGGCATATTGGGCACGGGAGGTAATGACAGGGGAGTCAGCTTGCGGTGCGAATGGACTGGTGGCCACGGGAAGTAATGACAGGGGAGTCAGCCTGCAGTACGAATGGACTGGTGGCCACGGGAGGTAATGACAGGGGAGTCAGCCTCGAGTACGAATGGACTAGTGGCCACGGGAGGTAATGACAGGGGAGTCAGCCTGCAGTACGAATGGACTAGTAGCCACGGGAGGTAATGCCAGGGGAGTCAGCCTGCAGTGCGAATGGACTAGTGGCCACGGGAGGTAATGACAGGGGAGTCAGCCTGCAGTGTGAGTGGCATATTGGGCACGGGAGGTAATGACAGGGGAGTCAGCTTGCGGTGCGAATGGACTGGTGGCCACGGGAAGTAATGACAGGGGAGTCAGCCTGCAGTACGAATGGACTGGTGGCCACGGGAGGTAATGACAGGGGAATCAGCCTCGAGTACGAATGGACTAGTGGCCACGGGAGGTAATGACAGGGGAGTCAGCCTGTAGTGTGAATGGACTAGTGGCCACGGGAGGTAATGACAGGGGAGTCAGCCTGCAGTACGAATGCACTAGTGGCCACGGGAGGTAATGACAGGGGAGTCAGCCTGTAGTGTGAATGGACTAGTGGCCACGGCAGGTAATGACAGGGGAGTCAGCCTGCAGTACGAATGCACTAGTGGCCACGGGAGGTAATGACAGGGGAGTCAGCCTGTAGTGTGAATGGACTAGTGGCCACGGCAGGTAATGACAGGGGAGTCAGCCTGTGGTACAAATGCACTAGTGGCCATGGGAGGTAATGACAGGGGAGTCAGCCTGCAGTTTGTATGGACTAGTGGCCACGGGAGGTAATGACAGGGGAGTCAGCCTGCAGTGCGAATGGACTAGTGGCCACGGGAGGTAATGACAGGGGAGTCAGCCTGCAGTGCGAATGGACTAGTGGCCACGGGAGGTAATGACAGGGGAGTCAGCCTGCAGTGCGAATGGACTAGTGGCCACGGGAGGTAATGACAGGGGAGTCAGCCTGCAGTGCGAATGGACTAGTGACCACGGGAGGTAATGACAGGGGAGTCAGCCTGCAGTGCGAATGGACTAGTGGCCACGGGAGGTAATGACAGGGGAGTCAGCCTGCAGTGCGAATGGACTAGTGGCCACGGGAGGTAATGACAGGGGAGTCAGCCTGCACTAGTGGCCACAGGAGGTAATGACAGGGGTATCAGTTGTGAGTGCGAAGGGACCGGTGGCTACGGGAATGTTCGAGAAGGGAGCGTGGTCAGGTGACGAAAGAGGACGGTGGAGCGAGCATCCACAGTCAGCGAGAATGATCGAGAAGGGGGGCGTGGCCTCGTGTAGGTATAAAAGGGAGATGCGCGGGAGACCCGGGGCTGTCGCAGTGGGGGTCTCCGCCTGATGTCAAGTGAACGTGTCTTCAATAAAGTGCCATCTCAAGAGAAGTGTGCTAAGTTTTCATCACACAAGTGTCAAGGTCGGGATTGAACCCACGACCTCCTGTATACCAGGTGAGGTTGTTGACATCTCCCAAACCGGGGCACACTTTGCCAGCCCTATCAGTTTAAACTCAGCTGCCGATATGCAAACCATTTTTGACGCATTCCCAACTTTAAACTATCGTCATACATCCTCACAACATTTTAATGTATTATTTTCTTCTTCGATGAAACTGTTTCTTTTTTAAAAGAAAAAATTGGTCAGCGGTTAAGAGTTATAAAAAGCGTAAGCCTGCAGCTTAAAACCGCAGGGTTTGTCAAGTACAGCACAACGTCGCATATCCATTGTGGCGAGATGTTAACTCCCTCGCCTGGTACGCAGGAGGTCGTGGGTTCGACCCCGACCCCCGACGCCTGTATCTCTCTCTCCCCGTGGTTGCATGGATTTTTTTTCTCCGGGTCCTCCGGTTTTTCCCCTCCGCATTTAGAATCAACGTCACGCGTTCAAAATATTTGGCTGCTGTAGATTTCCACACGATGATGAGCCGCTTCGCTGAGCCATCACTTGCGGCCTGGTCAGTGGGACCTCACCTGGTAAAATAAAACCTACTATATTTTGCCACTGATAAAGGAGGTCTCATAGTGTAAATGCTTACCCCGAGCTCTCAATACTCTGATGGTGCGCTGTTTTTGAGTTGTGCACCTTTTGGCGTCATCTGGTCCAACACCAATGGAGACTAGGCTCTAAGGAAGCTGTCTCGGGTGTGGACCAATCAACTTCAAGGACAGTGCATATCATTATCATCATCAGAGTTGTTTTTTTTTGTTTGCATTTTGACTACTTGTGTTGTGGTTATTGCAAACATGATGCCTTGTATAAAGGTGTCAGTTTTGTACCAGTTTAAAGGGTAAAAACCTACTACTATATTTTGCAACTGGTAAAGGAGATGTCTCATAGTGTAAAACCACTTGGCGTAGCTTAGCTTAGCACCACGACTCGCTGGGTGGCTGAGTTATTGCAAACATGATGCCTTGTATAAAGGTGTCAGTTTTGTACCAGTTTAAAGGGTAAAAACCTACTACTATATTTTGCAACTGGTAAAGAAGATGTCTCATAGTGTAAAACCACTTGGCGTAGCTTAGCTTAGCACCACGACTCGCTGGGTGGCTGAGTTACGCAGCGGATATGTTAAGCGGGTTGATATACGCGGATGCCTATGGTAAATGGAAGTTACACCGTGCACAGACAGGTTAGTGGGCCCAAGCCCACATTGCTTTTAACGTGGGGGCAATGTTGAAGCTGTGCTTTAGAAGTGAACTGAAGACAAACGGACGTTTTTATTAACCCCATGGTACTTGTGGTGAACATGCAAAACAAGCACGCTCTGATCACGTGCATTGTCTTTGAAACTGATTGGCCTACACCCGAGACAGCCGTCTTCATGGCCTCGTCTCACCAGCGTGAAACCAAAGGTCCAAACACAAGGTACGACCAGAGAGCATGTACAGCTCGGGGTGAGCAGCTACATCATGGGGATGCCTTTTAACTTTGAGAAACGCAAAGTGCAAACTTGATTCCTTGCCAAAGGTTTCTATTTGGTGTTGGAACAGCTTAACACCTTCTGTTTTATTTCCAGAAAGGGTAAAACATATTCTTGTTTTTTTTCATACTTTGAAACTGGCAAAAAGGTCCCATTTTGACGGTACGCGGCGCGAAACGTCGGACGCCGGAGATCCACGCAGCACGACGCAGAGGGCACACCGTAGATAATTACCTTCGAAAATTCTACCTATTTTTCTCCAAGATGTTGTTGTTGTTTATAATTTCCAACTGCGAGGTTGACGAATTTCTGACCACGCGGAATAAAAACATTTCACGGGACAACAGATGAGACCCGGGCATGATGGCCCGACGACATGGGGAGGGGGTTTTGCGGTGCGTGTGATCGTGCCAGCGGTGGCAATGGGGCTGATGATGCGATGGCGAGGGGAGGCCGGACGGGTGGTGATATAGCCGGCGACGGGCACGGTCGATGTCGTCGACGCTGTAAAAAAAACTGCGAGGCGCTGCCCCTCACTGCCCGCCACCACCGCCGTCCCCCTCTGCCTCAAGCTCGTTCTTGTGCGGAGCGAGGGCAGTGGGCAGCGTCTGCCCACACGGCCCCTCGAAGTGGAACCTGGCAGGGTGGAGTGGCGGCGGTGGGGAGACACACAGATACACACAGGACTCGCGTGCCGTTGCATTGACCCAGGAGAGGCCCCCATTTGTGGTAATTGCGTCTCCCATGTCTGTGTGTCCCGTGTGCCCCTTTGTCTCCTGTCTCCCGTGTCTGTGTGTCCCGTGTCCCCTGTGTCCCGTGTCTCCTGCGTCTCACGCGTCCCTCCACATGTGTATATCCCACGTCTCCTGCGTTCGCATCTTTCCTATCGTCCTCATGCCTCCAGTGACCCCGCGTCTGCCGTATCGTCCTCATGGCCCCATGCTTCTCGCGTCCCCACGTCTGTCGTGTCCCCGTATCGTCCCCATGGCCCCATGTCTCTCGCGTCCCCATGTCCCCATGTCTCCCGCGTCCCCATGTCCCCATGTCTCTCGCGTCCCCGCGTCTGCCGTGTCCCCGTATTGTCCCCATGGCCCCATGCCTCCCGCGTTCCCGTATCTTGCACATGTTCCCAATGTCCCCATCTTTCAGTGCGTCCTGCGCGTGCCCGCCCGCCCGCCCGCCCGCGCCCCTCACCCGAAGCCCTGCGTCACGGGCGTCGTCTCGATGTTGAACTCCGCCACGGGGACCCCGCGGCCAGCGACCTGCGGCGCAAACATGGCGGCCGGGTAGACGACGGACGAGGTGCCCGCCTGGGGACAAGGGTCAGGGGTCGGGGGAGACGGGGGGGTCAAACAGTCACGAGCGGTTTCCTCCGCAAAAAAATGTACCCGCGATCAGAATCAGAAGTTTATTTCCCACCGAGCAAAGCCCGTTGAGCCGAGAAGCTCTTTTTCGAGAGCGACTCTGCCTCCAAGACGACATCAAAGCATTCCACAATTGCAGATTAAAAAAAAAAAGAGACAAACTTAACAATGTTGTAAAATTACATTCGCAACTTTAACTTTGGTGATTTGAACAGAGTCGTTTGAAATGAGAACAAGAGAATGGAGATGCCGAGGGACGGAACAAAGTGGTTCCAAAACTTTTGGGGTCAGCTCCGTTAAATGATTTTGATCCAAAATTGTGCGTGCCAAAACCTGGGAACTATTAACCCTTTCCCGTTGCGAGATGTCTGCAAGTTGCAGGGTGGGTTCCCCATTCACCGCTGAATCTCAGAACGCGCGCAAGCGGTCCAGCTTTAGTTTTATTGAGAGAGGCGTTTTTAAAAACGTTGCACTCACCGCAGAGAACTGTAGCGACACGACCGCCGCACTCTACAATAGCCGACGCCAAAACTGCCACACGACCTCCCGCATGGCCTTGTGGGAGCCCCGCTACCGATAAAGTTATTCTATTTTAGTTATTCTTCTGGTTCCGTTCCGATGACGTATGTGTTGCAATGATGTGCACGCACGTACGTCATCATGCACGCACGTCATCGGAATGCAATCGAAACGAAAACTGATGACGTACACGTACGTACATCATCGGCTTTCCTTCCGACGTACGTATGTGCGTGCGTGTACACGTGTGTACGTGCGTCATCGGTACGGGAAAGGGTTAACAAACAACCAGGCGCGCGTCGCAGATTTATCGGACTGTCCGACGATATTGTCTGTGAAAGCTTACGTGCTGTGCGACGGTGACGACGATCGTCGTGGTGATTATTATTATCATCATCATCAAAACTTATTTTTTTAAATCCTTTATATTAAGTTCACTTGCTTGCTTGCTTGCGCGCTTACGACCGTGCAAATCTTTCGGTCGTTTTTTAACCCACTTCCCGTGATCCAATCGAGCTGACATTTTGCACACAGACTCGTTGTGCGTGACAATTTATTTTCGTAAACATTTTTTTCCTAAATTTTCCACTTTTTAGGAAAATTTTTTTTTCATATTTAATTTAAAATACAAATGTGATAAAAATGAAACTCTTACTCAAGAAAAACAGAAATGAATAATAAAATAAAACCGATGCCACGCATATAAAGGATTTATAGTGAAAAACTTTCTTTTTACGGGTTAATTTTTTTCAGTTCAAGAACTGTACCACGATGCAGAGATCACAGGAGTCGAGTTCGGCGTAGACCCGGTCCATCACGTCCCGAGTCCAGGCTCTCGCCAAACCACACCACGTGCGGACGCAGCAGCCCCCCACAGCCACCCTGCACGCACCTGGACACACGCGGGGCAATCGAGGTGCTTGTTGTTGTTGTTGGTTGACTTGCATCTCACTGGGATGTTTGACATGCATCCCATTGGGATATTTGCACACGGCGTTGGTGTACGGTGATTTTTTCTGCAATATTTTGCTGTCTTTTCTTGGATTTTCTGTTTGCACTTAGTCATATTCTTAGGTTTTTTCGGTAAAGTCACGTAGGTAAAAATTTTTAATTTAAATTAATAAAATTAAAATAAAATAAAAATCACGACGTTTCGGAGGCAACACAAGCTTCCGTCTTCAGGTGGAACCGTCACAGCATGCTTGCTGTGACGGTTCCACCTGAAGACGGCTTACTTTTATAAATTTTAATTAAAAATTTTTACCTACGTGACTTTACCGAAAAAACCTAACAATATGAATCCTCGCAGTCACGAAAGCTTCAAATCTAGAATTGCACAGTCACTTTAAGATGTTTTCTTGTTCATGTTTTGTTTTTTTGTTTGTTTCGGTTGCACCCGATTCAAGAGCCGAATGGCTCACAGGGCTATACCTAATAAATAAACTTTGAACTTTGAACCTCCCGCTCGCAGCCCCGAGCCGGCCGGCGGTGGACATTCCACGTTCCTGTGGCTTCCGGTTTGGCGAACGGACGTCGTGCTCGTTACACGCGCGAAGCGCTTGCCTGCGAACGAGCCGCGGTGTCCTCGCCCATCTCTCGCCAAGCAGCATGAACCATCGCCAAGCCAACTACGCTCATCCTCGCAGCAGCAGCGGCAGCAGCAGCAGCAGTGGCAGCAGCAGTGGCAGCAGCAGCAGCAGTGGCAGCAGCAGCAGCAGTGGCAGCAGCAGCAGCAGCACCAGCAGCAGCAGCGGCAGCAGCAGCGGCAGCGGCGGCGGCGGCAGCGGCGGCAGCGGCAGCAGCAGTGGCAGCAGCAGCGGCAGCAGCGGCGTTTGGCTGCTCGAAGTCGAACAAAGGCGGTCACCGCTTTCAGATGCGCTTCTGCGGCCGTCCGGAACGCTCTTTCCTTCTGCGAGATGATGAAGCCGCCGAGAGCTTTGCACTCTTGAATAATCTCGATTGAAAACTCACTTTCTTTAGCACCGCCGCCTTTCTGCGTGTTAGTTTGTTGTCCTCGGCTACGTACGGTACGCGAAAGACGTTCAACAAAGGGGCCGTCCATAAATGACGTCACGCGATTTTGGACGATTTTTGACCACCCCCCCCCCCCTCGTCACACGGCGTCACAAAAAGTCAGACCCCCCTCAAATATGACGTCACAAAGCTCTAAACTCCCCCCCCAAATAAATAAATAAAAAACATGCTTCAAATCGCTTTAAACTATTGTCATTGTAGTGCGTATTTAATGTGGCGCTGCACTCTGATGTTGTAGGAGAAAACATTTATTAAAAAGTCTATTTAATTAAGCATAACGTGTTGTCTATATTTATTTAAAGTTGCGCATTTTGATGTGACGTCACATTTCTCAAACCCCCCCCCCTCTCATCACAAATGTCTGACCCCCCCCCCCCAAGTGCGTGACGTCATTTATGGACAGCCCCATACACGCGGACATACACATCAATAGAAACAACAACCACTGTTTGCTCCCCCCCCCCCCACCCCCCCACAAATTGGTACCGCGTGTGTATCGACCCCCCAAGGGGATGATGGGGGTTTGAGTCAACCCGCAGCGACCCGTGACTTGAACCCGCGAACCTTCCGGCTGCGATCCGCTCTCTCTATCGTCGGATCCAGGGCCGTCCGTAGCGGGTGGCGGGGGTCCGGGTGGGGGGGGGGCAAACCCCACCACGTGGGCCACCTGACACCTCAAAGCGCGGGGGGCCCAGGGCGGTCCCCCCCCCCCCCCACCCCCCCCCCCCATTCACCGTCCACCACCCAGGCGACAGCTCTGTGCGTGTGACGCGCGTACGGACGGGGACCCCTTTTTTTGCCCGCATCAAGGTGTGTTTGCAAAGGGTTATTTGTCTTCTTGGTTCTTTCGGTAAAGTCGTCACGTAGAAGGGAAATAATAAAATAATACAAATAAAACATAATTAAATACAATTCTCACGACGTTTCGGCCACAACACAAGCAGCCGTCCACAGGTGAAGAATGACCTTCATTGAAGAATGACCTTCACCTGAGGACGGCTGCTTGCGTTGTGGCCGAAACGTCGTGAGAATTTTATCTTATTACGTTTTATTTTATTATTTTATAATTTCCCTTCTACGTGACGACTTTACCGAAAGAACCAAGAAGATGAATCCCTGCAGTCACGAAAGCTTTAAATCGAAATTTAAGGGTTATTTGTTTTGCATGTTTCACCGCAAGTGTGTGTGGGGGGTGTCTGTTTTGATACAAATTGAGCAATCATTGGAAGGATGTTATTAACCAGGTAACACCTGAACTCATTTATAGTTTGCCTTCATATCCGCATCTCCAGTTTCTTCAGCCTCCTACACCCAGCCCCGCTCATCAGAGGTCGCAAACGGGTTTTGATTCCTTACTCGTACCCGTACCCGGCCGTACCCTACCCGTACCCGGCCGGGTACGGCCGGGTACGGGTAGGGTACGGGTATCGGGTACCTGGATTGCGACCTCTGGGATGAAGCCATGTTGCAGGCGCGGGTGGGTTGATTCTAGGAACTTGAATTGTGAGAAGAGACAAGACGTTGGGAAATGAGTGACAAACGGTGACTCGCCAGTGACTCACGGTCTACCCGTACCCGTACCCGGCCGCACCAGGGTCGCAAACGGCTACCCGTACCCAGCCGGGTACGGGTAGCCGGGTATCGAGTAGGGTACGGGTATCGGGTACCCGGTTGCGACCTCTGCCGCTCACTTCCCAGCCCCGGCATTTGGTGGTGCTTGCAGCTCCCCAGTCTCCCTACCCCACACCCGCCCCCCCTCTCTATCTCTCCTCCCTGGCTCCTCCCCCGTCTCTTACCGATATAACCTCTTGTCACAGCAGCACTTTTGCCCACTTCAGCAATTGTTTCATGCTGTGGTTGTCCCACCTGATGACGGACGCTTGTGTTGCGTCGTGATTTAATTTATTTAATTTTCTACCCACGTGACTTTACCGAAAGAACCAAAGAGTTATGGATCCCTGCAGTCACGGAAACTTCAAACCGAGATTGTCTATTTGGTGTTTGAACATCTTGACACTTCCCGTATTTGTGCCAGAAAGAGGACGAAGCCTTTTCCTGTTTTTTTTTCTCTCAGGCCAAGTCACACGCACACACGCACTCATAACTGGGCAGAAGTTGAAGTCTGATTTTTTTCTTTCCTTCACATACCAAACTTAAGTATTTTTTATTTTATTTTACCAGGCCCACTGAGCTGCATAGCTGTTTATCAGAAACGACTTGGCAATCACAAATTATAGCTCAACGAAACGGCTTGTCACATGGAAATTTATATCAGCCGAATACTCTAAACGCGTGACGTTGAATATAATTGTGGAGGGGGAAAAACCGGAGGAGTCAGAGAAAAATCCACGCGACCACGGGGAGAGATAGAGAGAGAGACACCCACGACCTCCTGTATACCAGGCGAGGTAGTTAACATCTCCTAGCCACCGTGGCGAGATATTACAGCGAATCAAATTAGGGGAGTGGAGTGAGAGGAGAGCGAGTGGCTGGAATGCCCCTTCTCCCTGAGGGCACAGGCGGGGGCAGCAGCATCAGCACCAACTCACCTGGGCAGCAACTCCTCAGGGATGGCAGCATCCGGAGTGTTCGGGTCTGGGGCACTGGGGTCACACGGGGTCACGAAGCGAGGAGCGGGGGGGGGTCACATCGGGACATCAAGAGGGGAGGGGGGAGGGTAGGGGGGGTCACACGGGGTCACACAGCGAGGAGGGGGGTGTGGGGGGGGTCACATCAGGATACCAAGAGGGGAGGGGGGAGGGTAGGGGGGGTCACACGGGGTCACAAAGCGAGGAGGGGGGGGGCACATCGGGACACCAAGAGGGGAGGGGGGAGGGTAGGGGGGGTCACACGGGGTCACGAAGTGAAGTGGGGGGTAGGGGTCACATAGAGACACACCAAAGGATGGGGAGGGTAGGGGAGGGTATGGAAGGCATCATTAGGGGACATTTAATTTTGTGAATAAAAAAACAACATTCCACCTGGATGTGAAGTGACGCACCCCAACAACAACAGCAACAACAACAACAACAGCAGCAGCAGCAGCCGCCATTCGTCACTGCGGCGCTTGTGCCAGGCCAGGTGCGCACACAGACACACACACACAGCAAACGCGTACAGACGCAGCGTGCAGACGCAACGTACAGACGCAACGTACACACCCAGCGTACACACCCAGCGTACACACGCAGCGTACATACCCAGCGTACACACCCAGTGTACACACCCAGCGTACACACGCATCGTACAGACGCAGCGTACACACCCAGCGTACACACCCAGCGTACACACGCAGCGTACATACCCAGCGTACACACCCAGTGTACACACCCAGCGTACAGACGCAACGTACAGACGCAACGTACACACCCAGCGTACACACCCAGCATACACACGCAGCGTACACACCCAGCGTACACACGCAGCGTACACACCCAGCGTACACACCCAGTGTACACACCCAGCGTACACACGCATCGTACAGACGCAGCGTACACACCCAGCGTACAGACGCAGCGTACACACCCAGCGTACACACCCAGCGTACAGACGCATCGTACAGACGCAGCGTACACACCCAGCGTACACACCCAGCATACACACGCAGCGTACACACCCAGCGTACACACGCAGCGTACACACCCAGCGTACACACCCAGTGTACACACCCAGCGTACACACGCATCGTACAGACGCAGCGTACACACCCAGCGTACAGACGCAGCGTACACACCCAGTGTACACACCCAGCGTACACACGCATCGTACAGACGCAGCGTACACACCCAGCGTACAGACGCATCGTACAGACGCAGCGTACACACCCAGCGTACACACCCAGCGTACAGACGCATCGTACAGACGCAGCGTACACACCCAGCGTACACACCCAGCGTACACACCCAGCGTACAGACGCATCGTACAGACGCAGCGTACACACCCAGCGTACACACCGAGCGTACACACCCAGCGTACACACCCAGCGTACACACGCATCGTACAGACGCAGCGTACACACCCAGCGTACACACCCAGCGTACACACGCATCGTACAGACGCAGCGTACACACCCAGCGTACACACCCAGCGTACACACCCAGCGTACAGACGCAGCGTACACACCCAGCGTACAGACGCAACGTACAGACGCAGCGTATGGGGCGGGCATTCTGGAATCGACGGGACTGGGGCGTCACCACAGGGAGTCTTTCTCTTCTCGATTTTAAGGTGTTTACCGGTGGTTCTATACGTATATATTTTTAAAACCCCCGAGTTATGTTCTACGCGTGCCGAGACGGGGCCAATTGCACGGCGAGCGCTCGCAGTAAGCAGTGGACCACCCCGAGGTGGGGAACGGCCCAGACAGACGGAACAAGAATCTCCGCGAACATTCACCGCGAGAAACACAAAAAAAAAACGATGCGATTCTTGAATCGAACCGTGACCCCGTAATGACCGCTTCTGCCTGTGACGGCCTGTGACCGTCAGTGACTGCTCATGAGTGCCAGTGTCCATAACCGTGACTGTGACGATCCCCAGTGGCTGACTGCGACTGCCTTCAAAGCCAGATGCCGACCGAGTGCCTGACCATGACTGTGACGACGACGACGACTTGACCGAGTGCCTGACCATGACTACGACGACGACGACGACGACTTGACCGAGTGCCTGACCATGACGACGACTGCGACGACGACTTTACCGAGTGCCTGACCATGACTGTGACTGTGACAACGACGACGACTTGACCGAGTGCCTGACCATGACTGTGACTGTGACAACGACGACGACTTGACCGAGTGCCTGACCATGACTGTGACTGTGACAACGACGACGACTTGACCGAGTGCCTGACCATGACTGTGACTACGACGACGACTTGACCGAGTGCCTGACCATGACTACGACAGCGACGACGACTTGACCGAGTGCCTGACCATGACTACGACAACGACGACGACTTGACCGAGTGCCTGACCATGACTGCGACGACGACGACTTGACCGAGTGCCTGACCATGACTGTGACAACGACGACGACTTGACCGAGTGCCTGACCATGACTGCGACGACGACGACTTGACCGAGTGCCTGACCATGACTGCGACGACGACGACTTGACCGAGTGCCTGACCATGACTGTGACAACGACGACGACTTGACCGAGTGCCTGACCATGACTGCGACGACGACGACTTGACCGAGTGCCTGACCATGACTGTGACTGTGACAACGACGACGACTTGACCGAGTGCCTGACCATGACTGTGACTACGACGACGACTTGACCGAGTGCCTGACCATGACTACGACAGCGACGACGACTTGACCGAGTGCCTGACCATGACTGCGACGACGACGACGACTTGACCGAGTGCCTGACCATGACTGTGACGACGACAACGACTTGACCGAGTGCCTGACCATGACTACGACAACGACGACGACTTGACCGAGTGCCTGACCATGACTGCGACGACAACGACGACTTGACCGAGTGCCTGACCATGACTGTGACAACGACGACGACTTGACCGAGTGCCTGACCATGACTGCGACGACAACGACGACTTGACCGAGTGCCTGACCATGACTGTGACGACGACGACGACTTGACCGAGTGCCTGACCATGACTGTGACTGTGACAACGACGACGACTTGACCGAGTGCCTGACCATGACTGTGACTACGACGACGACTTGACCGAGTGCCTGACCATGACTACGACGACGACGACTTGACCGAGTGCTTGACCATGACTACGACAACGACGACGACTTGACCGAGTGCCTGACCATGACTACGACAGCGACGACGACTTGACCGAGTGCCTGACCATGACTGTGACGACGACGACGACTTGACCGAGTGCCTGACCATGACTGTGACGACGACGACGACTTGACCGAGTGCCTGACCATGACGACGACAGCGACGACGACTTGACCGAGTGCCTGACCATGACTACGACGACCACGACGACTTGAACGAGTGCCTGACCATAACTACGACAACGACGACGACGACTTGACCGAGTGCCTGACCATGACGACGACTGCGATGACGACTTGACCGAGTGCCTGCCCATGACTACGACGACCACGACGACTTGACCGAGTGCCTGCCCATGACTACGACGACCACGACGACTTGACCGAGTGCCTGCCCATGACTACGACAACGACGACTGTGACGACGACGACTTGACGACTTTGATTGCATGAGAGCGAGTGCCCGCGACAAACCGCCTGCGACCGGCTGCTGCTCACCCCTTGCCCTGCAGGGCCGGGGTGATGGGGCTGTCGTAGTTGCTCTCCACGTGTCCACAGCTTGTGCAGCGCGTCTTAAACAGGCTCCCTGTGCGCGGAGGCACACACACAAAGACAAAGATCCCCCGTGTAGCCTCGGCAGAGCGTTGGGACAAGCGCTGTTAGCGAGTAGCATCTACGAAGGCCGGCACCGCGCCCGGCCGCCTTTGTCTCCCCAGTGGCGACGTTGACTGCGCGTCGCAGCGAGTGCGGCTTGTAAAACATCGCCACTTGGGGGGTGAGGACGACCTGGGGGAGGCCCGGGACCGGTTCAGATCATCGTCGCTGGCGGTGTTGCCCGCGAGAGGGAATGGAACCCGGGTCGCCGGGTTTGTGGCGCAGCGTAGCGCTGACCACGCACGCGGTGAGCTTCACTCTGGTGGCACCACGCCTCACCCTCCCCCTCCTCACCACACCCACCTCACCCTCCCCCTCCTCATCACACCCACCTCACCGTCTCTCCTCGCCACACCCACCTCAAGACTCTCTTCACTACACGTACACTACTCTCTAAGGTGTGAGTATAGCTAGATTCCGGTATTACCGGGGTTCCGGTATTACCGTGGTTCCAGTATCACCGTGGTTCCAGTATCACCGTGGTTCCGGTGTCACCGTGGTTACGGTATCACCGTGGTTCCGGTGTTACCGTGGTTAAGGTATCACGTGGTTCTGGTATCACCATGGCTCCGCGTAGCTCCGGTGTTACCACGGCTACAAAGTCGCAAGACGACTCCGTCGTGCGGTGTTCGCACGACGATCCACGGCCCCCCCCCCCGGCCCCCCCCCCCCCGGCCCCCCCCCGGCCCCCCCCCCCCCGGCCCCCCCCCGGCCCCCCCCGCGCCTCTCACCGTGCAGCTCGTGCACGCGCTCGGAGCCGGCGCGTCGGTGCAGTTCGTCCACGTTCTGCGTGACAAGGGTGAGCGTGCGGCCCTGCCCGGCCAGGCGGCGCTGGCAGCGCGCGAGCGCCGTGTGCGCCGCGTTGGGCTCGGCGCGCAGCACGGCCTCGCGCCGGTGGTGGTAGAACTCCCAGACGCGCGACGGGGACGCCTGGAACGCAGCGGCCGTCGCAAGGTCCTGCGGCACGCACGCGCGCACGCACGCACGCAGAAGCACACACGCACGCACACACACACGCACGCAGAAACACACACAGAAACACACAGAAGCACACGCGCACGCACGCACGCAGAAACACACACGCACGCACGCACACACACACACACGCACACACACACGCACACACACACAGAAACACACACGCGCATGCACACAGAAACACACACAGAAGCACACACACACACGCACGCACACAGAAACACACACACACACAGAAACACACACACACACACACACGCATGCACACAGAAACACACACAGACACACGCACACAGAAACACACACACACGCAGAAACACACACGCACACACACGCACACAGAAACACACACACACACACGCACGCACACAGAAACACACACACACACAGAAACACACACGCACACACAGAAACACACACACACGCACGCACGCAGAAACACACACACACGCAGAAACACACACACGCACACAGAAACACACACACACGCAGAAACACACACGCACACACACGCACACAGAAACACACACACACGCAGAAACACACACGCACACACACGCACACAGAAACATACAGATGCACACACAGAAACACACACACACGCAGAAACACACACGCACACACACGCACACAGAAACACACACACACGCACACACACGCACACAGAAACACACACACACACAGAAACACACACGCACACACACGCACGCAGAAACACACACACACGCACGCACACAGAAACACACACACACACAGAAACACACACGCACACACACGCACACAGAAACATACAGAAGCACACACAGAAACACACACACACGCAGAAACACACACGCACACACACGCACACAGAAACACACACACACGCACACACACGCACACAGAAACACACACACACGCAGAAACACACACGCACACAGAAACACACACACACGCACGCACACAGAAACACACACACACGCAGAAACACACACGCACACACACGCACACAGAAACACACAGAAGCACACACACACAGAAACACACACACACGCACTGAGTTACCTGCGACTGCCAGGTAAGTGCCTCGTAGTGGACAGGTGAGTTACCTGCGACTGCCAGGTAAGTACCTCGTAGTGGACAGGTGAGTTACCTGTGACTGCCAGGTAAGTACCTCGTAGTGGACAGGTGAGTTACCTGTGACTGCCAGGTAAGTGCCTAGTAGTAGACAGGTGAGTTACCTGTGACTGCCAGGTAAGTGCCCCGTAGTAGACACAGGTGAGTTACCTGTGACTGCCAGGTAAGTGCCTCGTAGCGGACAGGTGAGTTACCTTGACTGCCAGGTAAGTGCCTCGTAGTGGACAGGTGAGTTACCTGTGACTGCCAGGTAAGTGCCTCGTAGTGGACAGGTGAGTTACCTGCGACTGCCAGGTAAGTACCTTGTAGTGGACAGGTGAGTTACCTGTGACTGCCAGGTAAGTGCCTCGTAGTGGACAGGTGAGTTACCTGTGACTGCCAGGTAAGTGCCTCGTAGTGGACAGGTGAGTTACCTGTGACTGCCAGGTAAGTACCTTGTAGTGGACAGGTGAGTTACCTGCGACTGCCAGGTAAGTAACTCGTAGTAGACACGTGAGTTACCTGTGACTGCCAGGTAAGTGCCTCGTAGTGGACAGGTGAGTTACCTGTGACTGCCAGGTAAGTACCTAGTAGCGGACAGCTGAGTTACCTGTGACTGTCAGGTAAGTACCTTGTAGTGGACAGGTGAGTTACCTGCGACTGCCAGGTAAGTGCTTTGTAGTGGACAGGTGAGTTACCTGCGACTGCCAGGTAAGTACCTTATAGTGGACAGGTGAGTTACCTGTGACTGCCAGGTAAGTAACTCGTAGTGGACAGGTGAGTTACCTGTGACTGCCAGGTAAGTACCTTGTAGTGGACAGGTGAGTTACCTGCGACTGCCAGGTAAGTAACTCGTAGTAGACAGGTGAGTTACCTGCGACTGCCAGGTAAGTAACTCGTAGTGGACAGGTGAGTTACCTGTGACTGCCAGGTAAGTGCCTCGTAGTGGACAGGTGAGTTACCTGTGACTGCCAGGTAAGTGCCCCATAGCGGACAGGTGAGTTACCTGCGACTGCCAGGTAAGTAACTCGTAGTGGACAGGTGAGTTACCTGTGACTGCCAGGTAAGTACCTTGTAGTGGACAGGTGAGTTACCTGTGACTGCCAGGTAAGTGCCCCGTAGTGGACACAGGTGAGTTACCTGTGACTGCCAGGTAAGTGCCCCGTAGTGGACAGGTGAGTTACCTGTGACTGCCAGGTAAGTGCCCCGTAGTAGACACAGGTGAGTTACCTGTGACTGCCAGGTAAGTGCCCCGTAGTGGACACAGGTGAGTTACCTGTGACTGCCAGGTAAGTGCCTCGTAGTGGACAGGTGAGTAACCTGCGACTGCCAGGTAAGTGCCTCGTAGAGGACAGGTGAGTTACCTGTGACTGCCAGGTAAGTGCCCCGTAGTAGACACAGGTGAGTTACCTGTGACTGCCAGGTAAGTGCCCCGTAGTGGACACAGGTGAGTTACCTGTGACTGCCAGGTAAGTGCCTCGTAGTGGACAGGTGAGTTACCTGTGACTGCCAGGTAAGTGCCTCGTAGTGGACAGGTGAGTTACCTGTGACTGCCAGGTAAGTGCCTCGTAGAGGACAGGTGAGTTACCTGCGACTGCCAGGTAAGTGCCTCGTAGCGGACAGGTGAGTTACCTGCGACTGCCAGGTAAGTGCCTCGTAGTGGACAGCTGAGTTACCTGTGACTGCCAGGTAAGTACCTTGTAGTAGACAGGTGAGTTACCTGCGACTGCCAGGTAAGTGCCTCGTAGTAGACAGCTGAGTTACCTGTGACTGCCAGGTAAGTACCTCGTAGTGGACAGGTGAGTTACCTGTGAGTGCCAGGTAAGTGCCCCGTAGTAGACACAGGTGAGTTACCTGCGACTGCCAGGTAAGTGCCCCGTAGTAGACACAGGTGAGTTACCTGCGACTGCCAGGTAAGTGCCCCGTAGTAGACACAGGTGAGTTACCTGTGACTGCCAGGTAAGTGCCCCGTAGTAGACACAGGTGAGTTACCTGCGACTGCCAGGTAAGTGCCTCGTAGTAGACAGGTGAGTTACCTGCGACTGCCAGGTAAGTACCTTGTAGAGGACAGGTGAGTTACCTGTGACTGCCAGGTAAGTGCCTCGTAGTGGACAGATGAGTTACCTGTGACTGCCAGGTAAAGTACCTTGTAGTGGACAGGTGAGTTACCTGTGACTGCCAGGTAAGTGCCCCGTAGTGGACAGGTGAGTTACCTGTGACTGCCAGGTAAGTGCCCCGTAGTGGACAGGTGAGTTACCTGTGACTGCCAGGTAAGTGCCCCGTAGGGGACAGGTGAGTTACCTGTGACTGCCAGGTAAGTGCTTCGTAGTGGACAGGTGAGTTACCTGCGACTGCCAGGTAAGTGCCTCGTAGTGGAAAGGTGAGTTACCTGTGACTGCCAGGTAAGTGCCCCGTAGTGGACAGGTGAGTTACCTGTGACTGCCAGGTAAGTGCCTCGTAGTGGACAGATGAGTTACCTGTGACTGCCAGGTAAAGTACCTTGTAGTGGACAGGTGAGTTACCTGTGACTGCCAGGTAAGTGCCCCGTAGTGGACAGGTGAGTTACCTGTGACTGCCAGGTAAGTGCCCCGTAGTGGACAGGTGAGTTACCTGTGACTGCCAGGTAAGTGCCCCGTAGGGGACAGGTGAGTTACCTGTGACTGCCAGGTAAGTGCTTCGTAGTGGACAGGTGAGTTACCTGCGACTGCCAGGTAAGTGCCTCGTAGTGGAAAGGTGAGTTACCTGTGACTGCCAGGTAAGTGCCCCGTAGTGGACAGGTGAGTTACCTGTGACTGCCAGGTAAGTGCCTCGTAGTGGACAGGTGAGTTACCTGTGACTGCCAGGTAAGTGCCCCGTAGTGGACACAGGTGAGTTACCTGTGACTGCCAGGTAAGTGCCTCGTAGTGGACAGGTGAGTTACCTGTGACTGCCAGGTAAGTGCCTCGTAGTGGACAGGTGAGTTACCTGTGACTGCCAGGTAAGTGCCTCGTAGAGGACAGGTGAGTTACCTGTGACTGCCAGGTAAGTGCCTCGTAGCGGACAGGTGAGTTACCTGCGACTGCCAGGTAAGTGCCTCGTAGTGGACAGCTGAGTTACCTGTGACTGCCAGGTAAGTACCTTGTAGTAGACAGGTGAGTTACCTGCGACTGCCAGGTAAGTGCCTCGTAGTGGACAGCTGAGTTACCTGTGACTGCCAGGTAAGTACCTTGTAGTAGACAGGTGAGTTACCTGCGACTGCCAGGTAAGTGCCTCGCAGTGGACAGCTGAGTTACCTGTGACTGCCAGGTAAGTGCCTCGTAGAGGACAGGTGAGTTACCTGTGACTGCCAGGTAAGTGCCTCGTAGCGGACAGGTGAGTTACCTGCGACTGCCAGGTAAGTGCCTCGTAGTGGACAGCTGAGTTACCTGTGACTGCCAGGTAAGTACCTCGTAGTGGACAGGTGAGTTACCTGTGACTGCCAGGTAAGTACCCGGTAGTAGACACAGGTGAGTTACCTGTGACTGCCAGGTAAGTGCCCCGTAGTAGACACAGGTGAGTTACCTGCAACTGCCAGGTAAGTGCCCCGTAGTAGACACAGGTGAGTTACCTGCGACTGCCAGGTAAGTGCCCCGTAGTGGACAGGTGAGTTACCTGCGACTGCCAGGTGAGTACCTTGTAGTGGACAGGTGAGTTACCTGTGACTGCCAGGTAAGTGCCCCGTAGTAGACACAGGTGAGTTACCTGTGACTGCCAGGAAAGTACCTCGTAGTAGACACAGGTGAGTTACCTGTGACTGCCAGGTAAGTGCCCCGTAGTAGACACAGGTAAGTTACCTGTGACTGCCAGGTAAGTGCCCCGTAGTAGACACAGGTGAGTTACCTGCGACTGCCAGGTAAGTGCCCCGT